GGGGCTGCATTCACGTGTTCTGATGTTTTTCTTCCTTCTATTAGCGACTTTATGTCTTTTCATGCTTTTCTTCGCATAGTAAACTCTTCGGTAACACGCGGTATCGCACCAGTGTCATTTCCTTGAAACTTCTTCAACACGCGGTATCGTACCGGCGTCATTTCTTTGAACCTTTCTCCTCTTTGTGTTTTTTTTGCCCCTTCCTTTTTTTCTATTAGTAGCTTTTTTTTGCCGATGTTCGCTATGGCATGGGTTCGAGTTACCAGTTATGTGATTTATACTTTTTCCAGAGACAAAATGAGCTGGCATACGGCTTCTGGGAAGAAGATCGCGCTATCGGTAAGTGATAAACTTTTTATGAAGGTAGCGTACTGTGTATTATGCTTGTTCCAGACAGCACCTCCAGAGGAATCCACAAATCAGGTGCGTTTTCTCCGGATTGTGTGACATGTAACCTTTTTATTATTTGGGTTATTTGATTACTTGTGATTCGCTAGTGGGAACGTAGTGGTGCTACAGTGAATTACTAATGACTTTTGGGAGGGTCGAAGAAAGGGTTTAGAGTCTCTAGGTCGATCTCGTAGGTCACAAAAAAGTGAATTCTCGGTTTTTATTTCCTTGTGTTCACGTAAGACGGAATCTTTTGCATGAACAAAAACGTGTCCACCCGAATCTTTCGTGCAAAAAACTGAAGTGTTTCTATCAACCCGACTTCATCTTCAATTCGTAAATGATTTCTTTAGCACCTTCTTAGAGTGCCCAGAAGTCGCAACGGAAAAAAAACTACTTTCTCTAATTCACATTTTTTAATTCTTTTTCTTCTCTTTTGTGTTCTCAACTATCCGCGCAGTGTCTCGAATGATCATTATTATTGCCCTCCCTTCATTTTGGTAAAGTATTACACTGTCCTCGATTTAAAAGTGTGCTAATATCTCGCTATCTTCATTTTCTATTGGATGCGATGTTAGGCGCGGCTGGTTTGCCATTGGGGCGCACCGGCTGTAATTGCCACCCACCACTCTGCCGATGCGACGCGTTTTGCTGGCCGGACAACTCGTCCTCTTCTATTAACTCCTTGATTACGTACTTGATCGACCTACGTTGGCAGTGCGCCAACATAGACGACCGATTGCGTCCGAATCTCCTACTTAACCATTTTCGTCCGTTTTTGAGCGATTTTTTGCCCTCTTTTGCCCCGACATCCCTTTCATAATGCTGGCTAGCTACTTAGAAGTGGTTATATCAAGAGTACTTTGAGCTCTGATCTATCCTACTTCGAAGCAGCTTCCAGCAGACAACGAGTGGTACTTCGCGTGTATGTACGATAAAAGTTTTTCAGTAAACATAGAATCTTAAAAGAAACTAACACTGTCTACCCTTCACGCCTCACTCTCAAAATTCCGGATAGACGCTGGTCAGAAATTTTTGTCGTGAGTATAGGCAACAGCTTTACGCACAGAGCCACCAGTTTGTTGTGCAAATGGATTCAGTAAGCGTGTTTAAGCGTCGAGCTATCGTGCGGTACAAGATTTTAAGAAAAATAGATGCGAAATACCACATTTCCAACCTGAGATAATGCTTTAAAAGAAATTCACGACCAGTGAAGCTAGTCACTATTGGGTGATAGATTGCATTTTTCGCTTGATCATCGTTGTAGTGGAAGACTTGTTGAATTAGACAGCATTTTCACTGCACGCTAAACAGCTTTTTATCTATCGAAGGAGTTATTCTTACCACAGTCCCATGAGTGTCATCGAAACAACAGGCTCTTTCATGATTTCCCATTCACATTTAATTACAGCCTTCATATTCTGCTATTTTCTAGTATTTTAGTTGCGGATTGGAACTGGCATTGTCACCTTCACCTTGTTGAAGAACGACATTCCTCATTAATTACGGCCAGAGGGGAGTAGACAAGGTGCGACTTTGCCTTCACTCATTTGCTATGCCCAGTGGAGTCATCAAATCTAGCGCACATCGTCAATGACAATGACATAATGAACAGAAAGACTTGAACTGGATTAAAATGAGAATCTGAAAATGCGACTTAGCCTTACGGCGCAACTTCCAACCCCCTTGGTGGATGATGGAAAATGCTTATATCAAAGTACATTCAATCGGTAGTTTGTGTTGGCACATTGCCAAGCGTAGGTCGCTCAAGTACGCCAATCAAGAGATTAATATGCGTGGACGAGTTGCCCAGTACACGATACGCATCGCATCGGCGGACTGTGGGTGCAATTACTGCCGATGCGCCCCAATGGCAATCCGGCCGCTTAACGATATGCACCCCTGTGTGCCTGACCGGAGCGTCCTCCCGTCTGGTGCCTGGCCTCATGAGCGAGATGCTTAGAAAAAAACGGATTAGTTGTCCTAGGACGCCTTTCGCAAACTCGCAGCGTGTGAATAGAGCGCTACAGTCTTAAAATTTTGTATTCAGTCAGAATGTGAGCTCTTTTGCCGAGAAGCAAGCAGCTTATTGAAGGATAAAGTGTTTGAAAGTTCACGTTGAGAAGTTTCAGGGTGATGCAAGATTAGTTCCGTTCAGTAAGCCAGATGAACAAAAATGTGGTTTATGCGGGAAGTCATACACTTTCTACCGTCTACTCTCTCACCTTAGGACTGCACACGGAGAAACCGGAAGGAGGGTCGCACAAGATCTCTCTGGGAAGACTGTTCCTTGCACAGTTGGCCACTGCAGCTACAGAGGCACTAGCGAAGAGGCCCTGCGGAAACACAAGGCGAAATATCATAGCGGAGACAAGGAAAACGAAAACGTCGGCACCACGGAAAAGATGTTTTGGTTGTGTCCATTGTGCGACGCGAAAATCAAGGATCAGGAAGACCTCAATCGCCACTGCGTGAAGGATCATGGTGGTGATCGTTTCAAGCCACAGATGATATCATTCGCAGCGGAAACCGATTTCAAGGTGGTTATTATGTTTCTATGAGAGTAAAATACCATAATCTGATACCCATTTTGGGGGGGGGTCTCGCTGGTGTATACTGTGGGGCAAATTGAAATTAGGAAGAGAAATGAGAATCCCGAAATATTTGGGCTTAAGTCATTTTAGTCTGTGCGAGGTACATATGTCCACAGATTGCAGATGTGGAAAGCAGAAACAGAGCTTGCGCATGTACTGAAATGGAGGAGGCACGGTGTCATCAATAATAAGAAGGGCATTAGGAAATATTACGTATGCCACAGGTAGTGACATTCTTCATGTGAAGTAAGAAACCTGACAAAGTTTTTATATCCGATAGATCTGGCGTCGTTAGAAGTCACAGCAGAGGAATGAGACTCGGTCGAGAGTCCAAGATCACAACCAGACATTGTACTTCGTTTCTTAAGGTAAAACCGCATTCCTTAATCTTTACCTGATCGGAAGTAGATGATTTAGGTTCGTATTACTGAGGTAGGATCAGTCACGGCATGGTACTGCGTCGCTCACGTCGGACATATTGTGACGGCTTCATCACTGCCTTTATGCAAAAGCGACAAGGAAACAATAGGCCACTATCTGCAACTAGGACTCAACATTCCCACTATTCTGCGCATCATCAGGAAAGAGCAATGCGATCCCAACCAACGTCTGTATTGGATTAGTGCAAGTGACATAAGGAATACTCAGGAAGCCCTTCAGCTTTTACCTGGTAAACTTCACAATAACGACCTCGAATCGGTTAAAATCAGATTCAACATGAATATCGCGAGCGATGGAATGCGCCACATCCTTTTCCCTGCCAACGAGAGAACTAATTTTCGACTGGTCATCATCACGCCGGAGCAAGTGGAGATTTTACGCCGGTTCAGTGCCAAGGGGATCTCCATTGACGACACTCATTGCACTACCCGTTACGACTTGAAGCTTGCCACCTTGATGACCGTAGACGATTACGGACGTGGAGTACCGAGTGCCTTCCTACTATCTAGCAAGATGGACAAAAATGAATGCGTGTTTCTTTCTGAGGAAGTAAAAAAGGTGTATGAAGCATTTAGTCCGAAATTTTTCCTGTCGGATGATACTATGTCGTTCTGGAATGCTTACAAAGCTGTTTTTCCAGAGAATGAAACTACAAAACTTCTCTGTGCATGGCATTGCCTGAGGGCTATTTTTGATGGACTCAAGCGCTTCTTCCCTGCAGCTGGAGATGAAAAACGATGTGAATTCGCTGGATGGATTAAAGTCCTATTCACACAGAGTAACGGAGTGGAGTTTTCTCGAGCAAAGTCCCATCTGCTGACTCTCCTGAACAAATGGACACTGGAAGGAGATGCCGGATCTATGCGTTTTTTACAGTATTTGAGGGTAAATTATTTGTCACGAGAGTCGCAGTGGGCTCCATACATGAAAGTCGAGGCCATCGCAAACACCACAATTGTTTCCGAGCGATGGCATCGCACCTTGAAATACACGCTGCTTAATAGAAGTGCGAATCGACGAGTTGATGAATTGATCGACATCCTCATTAAGGCAGTTCCGCTTATCACAAGAGAACATTTTGTGCAGGTATTTCTTCATCTTGAGTAGATAACTATAGGAATGACTCAACTTTTTTAAGGATGAGCGCAGGCTAATGGCTGGAAAATACCGTGCAAAGGAAAATAATCGACGGCACCGTAAGGCAGTTGAAAAAGGAGATGATGTGCAACCAAGTAGAGTTGCTGAAACGCAATTAGTGAGATCGTTCACCAACAACTCGCGCTTATCGTATTGTTGCGAACAACTGTCCCTGTGAAAATGTTAGTTGAGTCAGTTCTACGAATGGTACTCTTTTCATTCTCGATCGTTACAGGAAAAACTGCACTGCCCTCTCTGTCAGGTTTGCCCATCGGGAGTTCTGTGTACGTGTTCCGATTCGGTCAAATCGGGAATATCATGCAAGCACGCGCATGCTTGGGCTCTTTTTTATGACGGTGAGAGTAGTTGCCCCGTCCTCGCTGCTTCTTTCCTGCTTGTTTCATAGGTAATTACCTTTTTGTAGATTATAGCGGCATCAGTGATACACCTGTCGCGGAAGACGGACATATGGTAGATGGTAACAACAACTACTCCGAGCATGAGGAAAGCGACTCTGCTATTCATATCGCCATAGAAGGATCCGACGCAGGCAAAGCTGCTGTCGCTGCAATATCTCAGGTTATTGCGAAAAGTGTTTCTGTGGTTTCATTGAGTGAGATTTCATGCATTCAGCACTGTGATCGAATCTGCTTTGCTGCTTTGACGTGTCAACGACAAGGACCTCAGCAAACCGAAGTACTGGACAACGTGGAGAAAAAGTTGAAGGAGATCCTGATACAAGACTTTGGTAGGAATCCTTTATGGAATCGTTGCCTCTCACAAAAGTCCGTTCCTTTTCGTAACTGATTTAGGTAATATTCAACTACCTCATTTAATTGCGAGGCGCCATTGTCCGGAGCGGGGGCGTGTGGTGGTGACCCCCCCCAAACGAGCCTGGGAAAGCTTGTTAAAGTATGTGTATTAAATACCTTTGGCTTTCTATTTCTCCGAGACATTGCTCTACTTTAGCGTGTTTCACGAAAGAAGGTCGCCAAAATGACTTCGGAGTTTCATCCCTCGGACATAGACCTTAATTCGATTCAAATCTGCGCCATCTGCGAGGAAATGCAGCTTCAGCTTGAGTCTCTTGATGATGAACAACTCATGGTGGGGGCTGACATCGACTGGTGGGCTTGCGACGGATGTCAGGCCTGGGTTCATCGTGATTGCATTATGGAATCCAAATGCCACTTATGTGCTGGCAGTTATCGTCCTACAGAAGAACTCGGCAATCCCTTATTCGTTCGCAACGACACCGAAACATCCCCAAGAAGTTCAGGTCTCGTTTATGCACGATTATATCTTCTATTTGCTGTTACCTCGATCTTCGCGATACAAGTTTTTTAGGAAGTTAGCAGTCTTTCAGGGGAAGTTTTTGGTTAGTGGACTGCTTGGAGCGGATGAACAAGTTGCTTGTGAATACTGTTCTTTTCCTTTCAAAGTCCAGTACCATAACTACTCCTTTAGAAGTTACTCAACTCACAGCAACAGCAAGTACAACCTAAGCACATGGTAGTCTTGATCTGTTACGAATCAATTGATTCGCTATTATACCGTCATTTAGGAGGCATGTGAACGCAAAATATCGAAGTGGCTCTCCTTGGCGTCCCAGATGCTTTACTACTCAGCCACTACTGAAAATAGTGCAAGGTATACAAGTATTATATCTGGTGAACATATTCTTATTTCTTCGGTTTTCAATTTCTCATTATGCCTTTTTGTTGCTCGCCAATCTCATCATTTTCATAGGCATGGCCGCGTCACGGTGTGACTTTTCGATAATGGAATGGATGGACGCCGTCTGGGCACTAACGATGAAGACCTCCCAGGTGTACCAAATCATGTTACCAATACTCAATTCACAATTAATATCTACTGCTATACTGCGTATATTTTACCACGTTTTGTTGTGATATTTTCCACCAAGATGTTTTGTGTTATGTAAGTCGCGTAACCACAATAAATCTGCGTTTGACTTACTAACTTGTTATGGCATAGCAGAGAACTGTGAAAAAAATAAGTCGCTAGACAAAGAGGAAGATGAATGGCAAAGAGAAACACGAAAAGGTAAGGCAACACCAGAAATAGCTTAGATAATTAGAAACTCTGGCATGCAAGTTTTTATCGGTTTTAGCCAGTCGCCAGGCGTTTTTTATCGGTCCAGATAATCACTTTCAAGGAGTGAAACTACCTTTGAGGAAGTACTCAGCTCGGTTATTAGAATATGACGCATGTGGCGCGAGCGGAAGGCGCCAGAGGCAAAGTTATAAGTATTGAGAAAGTAATACTGGAAAAAAGGCCATAGCTAAACCTCCGAAATCATGAAGTGGGGTGAAGAAGCTAGCTCTTCCATTCTCATCGACGCGCTCCTGAAGAGTATGGAACGTAAGGAAGGCTATACTGTGCACATCCTTCCCAATTATTGTGTGAAGCGCTCGTTTTATGAACAAAATATTGTACTAGATCCTAAGTCGACCCTTTTTTAGTTTCGAGTAGAAGCTTACAGTTGAAATTGTAACCTCTCTAAGCATTCCACTAAAGGTGCAGAAATGTGTAGAGAGACGTTGTGCGAATAAACATTCGTCCGCTAGTCAGCAAGGCAAGTTTTAGGCTAAAAGAAAAACGCAACCATCGATGAGTGTATTGAATTTTCTTAGTGGAACTCCGGCTTTCTGAGCGAAAGGATAGTGTTGTTATCGATTGTGGCTCGAAAACCCGATCCGCTCAGAACACTGTAACGGTAATTATGCTCTCTTTTCCACCCAAACGTTCAAAAACGAGACGCAGTATATATACGTTACCTAAGCATTTTCGACGCTGTCAGCGTGAAATGCAGTGTTGAGGGTACAGCACAACTCATTTTACAACAGAAACAGAACGTGATTTGCAAAAAACAATAACTCCATGGCGCGAGGTTAGCGCCTAATCGCCTGTGTAGCGCACATCACCAAGATGGCAAAATGCCAGAGAGAGAGGATACGCATCTACTCTCACAATGTGGCGCGCGCGGCACGCGCCACATTGTGAGAGTAGATGCGTATCCTTCCGCGAAAAAGATCGGTAGGATTTCGAATAATTCCGGTCCTACACTTAGTGGCTTATTACGATCCCCTCCTCCCCAGCGGCCAATTACGACTCCCCTATGGGTTTCGCACAACAATGCTGTACCCAGGGCACGCCATCGCGTTGTGATCATTTCCCGCTAATTACGACCCTCCCCCCAGAATTAGGGTCTTAATACGACCCCCCCCCTGTCACGAGGGTACAAATGAAAAGAAGCGCAAAAGGGACGAAGAAAATGACAATAAAGAGAACTGGGCGCTATTGAACTATTCCTACGCCAAAAACTCAAAAAAATTTATGCTGAAACTGGCACTGTCCAACTATTACTACCCCAATTCTCCAAAAACGGGCCGGATCTTAATCGACTTTTTTAATTGGCGGGCGGATTTGGCTGAAAGGGGTAATTCGACCTCCTGAACACGAATATCACATCCGCTCCTCCCGAAACTGCCTGGCGCCCGCGCCACAGGCGCCGGCGCCAAAGTACCCTAGATCACCAAATCCGCTGAAAACTTGTGCCCAGGGGTAGTTCGACCTCCTGAACACGAATATCACATCCGCTCGGCTTGAAACCGCTCGCGCCCGCGCCACAGGCGCCGGCGCCAAAATGCCCCAAATCACTGGCGCCTGTGGCGCGGGCGCCAGGCACTTTCAGGCCAAGTGGATGTGATATTCGTGTTCAGGAGGTCGAATTACCCCTAGAACCCAACTTTCAGCCAAATCTGCCCCCGTAGAAAAAAGTCGATCAAGATCCGGCCTGTTTTCGCAAAACTGGGGTAGTAATAGTTGAATAGTGCCCTGAAACTTTGTCTATAGATGTTATTCGATGTCCTGATCACGAGTCTGACATCATTTTCCATACCAGCGCTATTTGGCACTCTGCTGAGGCTGAAACTGAGAAAAAGGGAAGATTTCCCGCAGGTCAGGCTCAGTCTTAGCAAAGCGCAGATGACCATAGTGTCCTACGTTAGCGCTGGCGCAAGAATAAATATCATATTCGTAATCAGGATGTCAAATAACCCCCGTATACAAGTTTTCATCGATTTTGGTGATTCAGGATATTTTGGCCCCGGCGCCAAAATACCCTAAATCACCAAAATCGATGAAAAGTTTTGGGCAAAGCGGGTGTGATATTCGTGTTCAGGAGGTCGAAGTACCACTGTAACAAATTTCCATCCAAATCTGCCCCTCTAGAAAAAAATCGATAAAAAATTGGCCTGATTTCGGCAGACTGGGGTAGGAGTAGTTCGATAATGCCAAATACTACAACAATACAACCTTAAACTACTAGAAAACAAAAAAGAGATCTAAAATACCAAAAAACAAAAAAACGACAAAAAACTCACCAGAAGTACTAGGAACTATGCATAGTTTTTGAATATTAGTTGTTCGCGGTCATCCGCACGCGAGCCCTAATACACGCGCTAATACAAGCGCATTGGTGCGCGCTATTTTACGACCTGGAGCCAATTTCAAGCCAAACACTCGAAAAGTACCCCTCTCCCATAACTCCGTTGAAAGTAAAGCTCTCGGAGAGGGGAAAGTGGGAATGAGTGGAGCTAGGTTGGCTCTTGTTACCTGAGTTTGAGCGATTTCAAAACATTTCCTTTCCAGAAATTACCTGAGTTTGAGCGATTTCAAAAACATTTCTTTTCTAGAAATTTTCCCCGTTGTGACCCTTGCGTGATCATGGGGGCCAACCACAAGTCGCTACGCTTTGGACATCCATGGCAAGCTTCATACACGGCTTTCGTAAGCTTTCATTTTATCCTTAGGCCTGCTATTCGAAAAAATCCTCCGTTGTGATCATAGAAAAATCACTCCCCCACGGCCCGAAAAATCAACCCTCCGACGCCAGAAAATCTCCAGTTGGCTTTAAGACATTGGTATGCTTCTAAAACGCATGTTTTTGCCAAGGATACCAGGAAATAGTTCATTGGACGCCAATTGGCATCACCTCTGCATTGCGCCATGCATAGCGCTTTCACGCAGAGCTATTGGGAAGGTGCAACTTCTAGAAAGGGCTTCCTTCGTGCAGGTAGATGTGCTTGCACGGTCAGAAAGGCTCGGAAGTGTATTTTCATCTGTTTACTAGTTCATGGCGGATATTCATTGGCGCGGAGGTGGTGTAGTGACAAGTGGCGCGCTTACCACTCGCGCGATGCCGGGTTCAAATCCCGGGTCGACTTTTTCCTACATTTTATGGTAAAGAAAACCTGCCACCGTTTTGCACATTTAGCGCACTCTACCTCGCCCAAGGGAAGAGTGCCTGGCGAAGCCAGGAAACAGACCGTGAAACAGGAGGAGCACCCGGCGGCAGCCGGGGGATCCGACTGGTACGATAATAGGAGGCGCACGTTCGTGGAATGATTCCGATCTCATCTGTTTATCACTGCATTTCTTGAGAAAATCTAGAACGTCTGCACAACAGAAACATACGGTTTGTAAAAATTGCTTCACGACCTGGGAGACCAGACGCGGACAGAACCCGCACTGCAGGCTCTTCCGTCCAAGTGCGGAACAGATAGCGCACTCGCCCAGAAAGAGTCTTCAGGGCTTTTCTCGCACAAATATCTGTACACCAGGTGTTCCTTAATGCACACGGCTAGGACCCTTTCTGTTCTCCAAGAAGTATGTAGTTAGTCACAACACAATACTGTCCAATTTATTCTGATGACAAGAAAACTCAACAGCAAGAAGTAATTAAGGAACTTTGACATGATGGTTGAATCAAGGCCAAAAATACGTAGAAAAATACGCCTCAATCCAATGTAATTTCGTGATTCTTCGCCCATCTCCGTATCGTTGATGACACGAAATCTGCTTGAGGATGATTTCCACGATCGAGCAGGTGCAGAACTTCCGACATTTGCTCACTGCAAGTTTTGAACTATTCAAAGAGCTGCTACAATTCGAATGTTTCTTAATAGAAGCCATGTAAGCATCGATGTAGTTATTATTATGAGGGAATGGGTGTTGTTCTTTCTAAGGGGGAGGGGTTGCATTGTGGTAGTTAGCTGTTTTCGTCACTTCCCTGACTTTGGTGAGGATTGTAAAATCTTGTGAAGCTGCTAAATGAGACAAGCTGCTTTGAATGGACCCGTAAACCGCTGTAAACTTGAGAAAAGGCAAAAGTTCTGATATGTATGTCTGTGTTAGCTTTACAGGAATTCACAAGCCCTCACAAGTGGCTCGTACAGTCTTCACCAACCATAAGTGCCATTTTGTAGTTTGACAGTTCACTACTCTCTAACATGATGGATTTTAGCAAAATGCCCCTCTCCCAAGGCGGATAGCACGGAGAAAGTTTACACGAGAAGCATCCCTGCAAGTGATCAGTTCCAGTTCCTTTAATGTGGACGGGTTCGATGCCCCTTTCCCAAGTGTTTGGGTGACAAGGTGGTCGTACATCGTCGATGAATTCTCTCTGACGTCAATTACACGTCATCGATCCCTTGACAGGTACATAGGTGTGAATCTATGCTATTAAGTTGTCCGGAAAGTTCTCGGCGTTTTGGGTGTTTTTTTGAACGATCATAACTTTCTTCAATACTCATCGGATTTAATCGAAATAAGCACCGTTCGAATCAGCACACTTTTGCCAATGTGACACCTATAAATTCCATTTTTAAAGAAAAAAAACTGGGTGGTCGAGAATCCACGAAATCCACGAAGGCTTTTTTGCCTGGTCCTGATTGATGAAGTATTTTCCAGCAAGGAAGTTCTGAAAATGTTTGAAAAGGTGATAGTCGGTTGGTGAAAGGTCTGGAGAATATGGCGGTTGAGGTAGAACTTCAACCCCCAATTCGTTCAATCTCCTGTTATCATACATGATCCACTTTTCATCACAGGTGACAATTCGGTCCAAAAACGGGTCGTTTCTGTTGCGCAAAAGCAGTGAAGAAAACCTCGAGACGTGCCAATTTCTGCCGGTCACTCAAATTGGGGCACCCACTTGTCGAGTTTTTTCACCTTCCCAATGCGTTTCAGACCATCCGCAACAGTGGATTTGCCAACGCCTAGCTTTTCTGCAATCTCTCGAACTGTTTGGGATGGGTCAGCCTCCACAAACGCCTTCAAATCCTCGTCAGGTATTGCTTTAGGTCGACCGCTACGAGGTTCATCTTCAAGGCTGAAATCTCCAGAACGAAATTTGTCGAACCATTGTCGCACGGTGCTTTCTCCAACACTATTGGGCCCCACACCTGGTTAATTTGTCGAGCTGTCTCGACTGCGGATTGACCCAAAAATTCTCTTCAGGATGTACTACTGAGACGCAAGGAGAATGAGTTTTTAATCAGCATCAGAATGTACAAAAATAGTAACACAAAACGCTGAGAACTTTCCGGACAACCTAATCGATCAGCCCCGTCCAAGCTCCATTTCGAAGGGCTCATTGTCTATACATTTCACCAATTCAAAATTCATAAAGAAGAACTAACTTTGTGGCCTTCCCTTGAACCAACATCTTGAACAAGCCACTGGTCGCACCTCGCTTCCCTTGCCAGTTCTCCGGGGAAGGATCGATCTTCTCAAGTCCATCAAACGCCTTAGCCGCATAGTAAAACTCGCCCATCTCAACGTATCATATTACACAATCTCATAATTGCATTCCACATCCCAAACTTGGAGAGTCTGTGATCGCGTACTTCACTTAACGTGGCGGTAACTGCGCTCATGGAGGGTATCACTGTTTTAAAACAGT